CGACTGTCTGCCAACCTGGTCTGTTTCACGCGCACATGGTCCGACACGGTCGGAGTCGGAGGACATGTCTACCGACATGTCGGGCCGTGAAGGGGGGCTATAAGATACTTGCAGTAGGGTGAGATCGCAAAAGTGATGTAGCTCTTAGAAGCTGCTGGGGAGAAATAATTTTACAATACCTCCATTGATAGAATCCTATACTGGTAAGTAAAGTTTTACAAAATAAAGTTTTACAGTATACTCATTTGATACTAAACAACTTCTTGATCAGCATTTTATATGTCCTCATTTTTTGTATATTCCTATTGGTTTTAATATAATGCTCATAAAACCAATCGACTATATAAAAATGTATTCCAATCTGTGTCTAGTGACTGAAGCAATTTCAAGAGCAATCGTAGAGCCAAAGCTCATGCATGACAAGCAAGAAGCTGATGCTAATGTGGATCAATCAAATTTGATTGGGTGAACAACTTCCCTCCCTGTTCCCCATATCTCCCTATTGCAGCATCAACTGCCTTTCTGAAGACAAAGTAACCTACTTCTTATCATAAACTGTTTGAATCGACAAAACTATTTATTATTAAGTGAATTTTTAGGTACCGGTATATTTAAGAATAACTCTTCCTCTACCTTGGTCTTTTATACAGTCAGGTCAACAATTTATGTGCTACTGTATTTGATTAATCTAATATCGCTATCGTCTAGTGGCGTGACTTTAATTACTGTTAAGAGCATTTCCCTTACCCCTCCCATGCTATTCTAATTGGTACGATCTTTCTAAGTGGAACACTAACTACCGGTACCTAATTAATTAAAGTCATATATTAAATGAGTCAACTCTATCCTCTCGATACAGTATTTTAGTATCAGTAAACCTACAGATAGGGACTGGCTTTCGCTAATGATATAGCGACAATTGAACTTCATCAAGGTCCTGAATTCAGATTAATCTGATAACTGATCCATCATCAGTCAAGAAGAGGAGAAAACTTTGTCGAATGTTATCATAATATTTTAAAACTAATTCGCCCTCCTGCCTACACAAACAACTATAGCCAGATTTGAAAATGATGATTAGAGTACAATGATCTTTTCCGCTCTGCTATCAACATTCTATTCCTCTCACTACATTATTTAAAATGATGTGACAATAATAATGTACTGTATCAAAACTATTTTTTTTCTAATTTGGGTACAATTAAAAAGTTTATATTGAACAGAAAATAGTTTTGTCAGCAGCACCACAGCCTAACCACTAACCAACACAAGTACCCTACTTTATAATCCCATTGAAAATTTTGAATCTTGCTTTTCGTGTCTAGTTCATGTCCGGTGACACTGATTTTTAGTTTTTACAAAATTTTAATTCTATTATTTTAGGGTTAATTTCATGATTTGTGCTTTAATGTTTGGTTATATAAGGAGGGGCGAGTTATTATTTACACTGTTTTCTTTGGTTAAATAATGTTTTAAATAACTGAAATAATAAGAAAAAAAATTTTAAACAAAACACAACCTCTACTGGTCCACCAGACAGAACTAACAATAAAATTTTGCTTCAGCTGTTCCATAAGAAAGATAAATCTACTAAGGGAGTATGTCTTCTCTATGCTAAAACTATAGGCTCAATTGAACCATATTTTTTTTAACTCATTGTAATAGCCTCAAAACCGCAAAATTGACTAATATGGGGTTTTCAGTACCTGTCAGCGTCAGCAGATCCAAATGGTAACATTAAAGTGTTACATGGTTTGGAATTCAATGTTCAAACACTTAATTCTATAAAACACATTAAATTCCCTTGAATAGCTTCATTGAAGGTTTGAATACATAGCACATCAAACAGTAAGCACACAACATAAACAACGTAAATAACTAATCTAGGATTTATAGGCCTACCACATGGTTTGCAACATTGCTAATACACTAGGAACACCTGCCTAAACATAGAACACCTTCAATTTAGACCATTTGGGACTTTCTTGCACATAGTGTAAAACCCATATTATTTTTGTTTTTGTACCTACAATGGTCCGTGAGGTTGGCAAAGGACTCTGAGAGCTTAACGTCCCTTCCACCAACGCACGCGTACTCGCAAGCATAGGGTCCTACCTACTCCACAGCGTGTGACCGATGTGTGTGTGTGTAGGTGTGTCTCTGTGTGTGTGAGTCCTTCGCCTACATCACGGACTATAGCTACAATTATGTCTCATGGTGACAAATTTCCCTCTTCTATTGTAACTATAGTTGACTCTCTGACAGTGAATTTCAAATTTCCCGCGAGATAAGTAAATCGCAGATCTGTCGGGGAGTACGTCAGGCGCCACCGTCATTTAGCTACCTCCCCACCACGACCTTGAGAGGGGAAGGAGCTCTAGGAGGTGACCAGAGGACATTCAGTGCCGTACCGTCAAGCTATCAAGTTATCATCCTCAGCTATGGTGGTACTGGTGATAAATATATGTTTTGTACTTCCATAGTTATTGAACTGACACTATTCAATGTACCAAGCATGTACAGATGACGAATAAAGATATTTTGATTTTATTTGATTTGATTTGATTTGATATAAAATTTCGTTTATGGCGTAAGTGAGTGTAGTGTCGCCGATTACCGACAGGGACATATTTCCATATGGGTAAGTGTCCCTCCAAAAGTCGTAAGTTGTTAATTCTTTAACAAACTCAGATTTCAAAGTCAATTTTCTCCAAGTTTGTCTCGATTTTAATTTTCCAGTATCGAGTCCATAAAGTATCGAGTCCATAAAGTATCGAATGTTCGAACTCTCGGTTAGAGGCAAATGTCTCTCACCTCGAGGCTCTAAATTCTTTTAGAAATTTTACATCATATAATCGAGCGGAGGCATCTGTCTCGTCGGTTCGATTATAAAAAGGCCCTCTTAATTTCAAGTAAGAAATCATTTTGGTTAAGTTTTTGTAAAGTGAAAAGTCAGTAAAATTTTATTTCGGAATGTACCATTTTGTTTTTCTGTAGGTTATGCGAGGATAAAGTATAATTTTATTTTCAGAGAGTGTTATTGTATCATGTATTCCTCAATTTGAAGTCCCCTTTAGAATTGCTATTCAATATTAGTAGTATTCTTATAACTCACAAAGTGTTAATTTATTATGTTATGCTGTGTTCCGTGTGGGGTAATTATCTCGCATGGCGACACGTTTACAGAGAGTGTTAGTTTATAGTTTATTCTTTAATTTAAAGACCCTTTTGATTGTGATCTTATTTTTGTATTTTAAATTCCCACGAAGAATTTAAAGTGTTGCGTTACGCGTAATATTCCGTGTGGGGTATATGTCTTGCATAGTGATATTGCCGTACGTTTGAGAATAACCTGGCTTAACGAAATCAGCTTAATAGGCGTTCAGTCGTAAGGTAGAGCTAAAGTTCCTCTGTATTTTGTCTCTGAAGTGCGGTGGTCTTTTGGGTAATTGTTACGTGTTAATCCGCGTGAGGCACATGTCTCGCGCGTCGATAGTCTATCTAGATTAATTATACCCGTCTTCAGATTAATTCACGTATCAAGTCGTAAGGGGCATATGTCTCGTACGATGTAAATTGTAAATATATGTTTTACAGAATATCGGGAGGGGCATCTGTCTCTTCACGAAATCCAGTTTATCGTTCATCCTGTTAATGTATCAATCCGTTACCTATGTCAGAATCAGAATCAGAATCAATAATCTTTATTCGGTCTGTATGTACATACATGAATAGAGTCAATACATTCAATACATAGGCTACAAATAGTTTTACAGAAATCTTAACATATATAATCAACAATTAATATCGGTTTTATACAAAAAAATAAAAACCTTCATTCTCAATAGAAACAAATCTATATGTTAAGAACAGCAAGTATATGCAAAAATTCAAATATGAAGAGATATACATTACAAACTGATAGATTTAAAACTAATATTCTTGTCAAATTTAAAAGGTGAATAAAAATCAAATAAAAAACTCTTCTATAGAGTAGCAATTCTTTGTTAAAAGATAAGCTTTAACTTTATCCCTGAAACATTTTTTAACCATATGAGTTTTTAAATTCAATGGCAATTTATTTAAACATTTTGTCCCCATGTAAGTCGCTTTTTTTCAAAAAAGCTAAGTTTATGTTGGGGGATGTCAATTGTATTTCTATTTCTAGTATAGTAGGAATGTATATCTCTACGGAAGATGTGATTGTGGAGCTGACTTTTTGTGCAAATTATGCACTCCAAAATATATTGGTCATACACTGTTAGTATGTTTAAATTGCAAAACTTATTTTTTACCGAAGCGTCACGCTCTAGATTTAGCATTATTCGCAAAGCTCTTTTTTGAAGTATTAAGATTTTGTCTAAGTTTTGCTTTGTAGTGCCCCCATAAATTGCCAGCCCGTACGATAAATGTGAATGAATATGAGCATAATATATTGTTTTTAAAGTATCAAAATTACATAAAAATGACATCCTATATAAAATATATAGTCCTGTAGAAATTTTACTTGTTACTTTTTGAACATGATCATCCCAACTCAGATTATTATCAATCTCTATCCCTAAAAATGTTGTGACGTTTATTGTGTTTATGTATCGGTTACCTTCAGATACCGCTTTACATGTAATAAAGTGCTACGATTCGCCCATGAGGATTGAAGTGTGTATAGTGTAGGTTTGGTGCGAGAAAGGAGCACGTTCCGACAAACTGTATACCGTTGTGATAAAGTATCGTTTAAAACGCATTTCAATGTATGTATTGTCGCAGTTTTAATGTCCATGTAAAAAATATCGATTAATTACTATATGTGGGTAATATTTTCACTTTCTGAGAGATCTCCTTGCCACCAGGCAAATTATAGTGTTACTATAAGGGTCGAACCTCCTCTGTGGGTTTATCCGAGGCAAATATAACTTACTTTGTATTGCGGGAATATTTGACAAATTAATAACGTTTACTATTATATTATTCCCATTACAACACGTTACATCTTGTTTCAGAACTGAAGACACAAGACACCCTAGAGTATGTTTATCATCCAGTGCCCAGCCGCACTCTTAGGTTCAAGGTGAAGGCCAGCAACGACGGACACGTCATCCTGTCTGAATCAGCCAGCCCGGGCGATACTGACCCGGTATTGGAGGTAAGTTTTGTGGGATATAGAACATTCAAATACCACCAGATGTTCTGTGGTGGGTTCGGAGCTGTTGTGATTGAAACTTTAATGTTGGTGAACTTTATAAACAGTTGCCTTCATGATAAAGAGTTTAAAAATTATATGCATCTAAGGACCTTTTTTTGGCACCAATACAACCAAGTGCTTAAGTGAGGGATATGAGTTTAATGAATAGATGATAGCTTTTACTATCTAAGATCAAGTGAGGAGTCTTTAGCTAGGATCACTATAGTCCGTCCGTTTGGCTATGATACCCAGCGGGTTAGGAACCTTCTCGGAACTCAACTCGCCCTTCAGACCCCCTCGCCAGGCTGGCCGTTGATAAAAAGTTTATACCTACCTACTGTCCGAGTCCCACAGATATGTAACTTTTTTTATTTTAAGTTAAAATAAATATGTATTTGTATATTTGAGTTCCACATTAAATTCCAAAAATAATGAGTCGAAACACGATGTGGATACTTAATATCTACAATCTGAAAGTTTGAAAAAGCTATGGTGACGATACAGAGTAATTGTAATATTTTTATATCGTAGATATTTAAGTATCCACATTGTGTTTGGGCTCATTATTTTTGGAATTTTATGTAGAACTCAAATTTATAAAGAACAATTTATTTTAACTTAAAACATAACAAATTACAGATCTGTGGGACTGTCCAGTCGGCCAGCCCGACGATCGGGTTGAGAGGGTGAGTTGAGTTCTGAGAAGGTTTCTAATCCGCTGGGTATCATGGCCAAATGGATGGACTATAATCATGAAACGCAAAATGATTGAAGACAGCTTAATCTAGTTTTGAACCATCAAATAGTTTTTGAATTGGTTCAGGATCAAACTGGTGGCCTTCAGTTTTGTAGGCGAGCATTAGTACTATAAGTGAAATCATACAACAAATTTTAAGCTTCTAAAGTATAGCTGAAACATTTAAGAGTCCAAGGACCTAGAAAGTCGATAAGTTTTATATACAGTTAGTATTAGGTGTTACCGGGTACAACTTCACACTCACCTGCTTGCTACCAGCATGATCAATTCAAAGTTGGCCATACGGGCACATCACTGATAAAGAGGCTTCTAAAGCTTCACAACATTACTATCGTTAACTTACTTAGGAAGATGAAAAGCATTACAGACTTAACGGTATCCAAAATATTGTTTCCTTCTACAATAGTGGTTTTTGGGCCTTTAAAAATATGTTATTGTTTTATTAGGATCATGAAGTTTGGACTTGAGTTTAGGTAAAGAAAAAAGACAAGAGACAGGTCTGATCCTGAGAAAAGTCAGAAACCTTTTCACATTAAAGACTGGACCAGATTCAAATTCAGCATTTAATGAAACAGGTCCTTGCTAATCAGATAGCAGGTCTTAGTTAGTTAGGAAGCTACACAAGACATCACACTCCAAATTATAGCATTGAAAGGGTTAAATAAAAACAAAAATTAAATGAATATTTAAAATATCCTTCATAAATCTACACAGTTTGTTTTTAGTTCCACACTACCGTACACTATAGTTCGGCCGCTTAGAAAACGACCTGCGCGCTAATGCTAAACCAATGCTGGAGGAGGTCGCTTTCTAAGCGGCCGAACTATAGTTCCACTGAGAATAATACTTTGCAGGTAATCACTATAATCACTCAGCTTTTACAAATATGAGTTTGTGCAAGACAGTAACCATTTTATTCCTCAGGTTTTCATCGGTGGCTGGTCCAATCAGAAGTCCGCTATCAGAAGGGACCGAGCTAAGCCTGATAAGGCTGTAGTGGACACTCCAGATGCACTGACCAACGAAGAGTTCCGTGGCTTCTGGATCAACTACCTTGGAGGTGCGATCGCTGTAGGCAGAGAGAACGAGGTGAGACGACCTTGTACTTTGGACACTTTACCGAGGAGTAGATATTCCTGAGGAATATTAATGTTTACTAGCCATCAGCATCCAACATAATTTTACAAAAGCAGTAGAGCTATGATTATCCGACCAAAACCTCTACCACCAGATAGATATGTAAGAGTTTATGAACTGTGTGATATGCCCTGCGCTTAAACAAGAAAGTACAGTTAGATACAGGTCCCTTAGCCTGGTGTTTGTCTCCCTAATACAATCAGGGGCGGCAGTCCCCTCTTTTAGCCCCCAAGCACTAAGTGTGCAGTAATAGCAATTTCACAATAGTCGTTCTCCAGGGAGGGTCAGATAAAGGGGCCACACTTGACAGGAAAGAAAACTGAAAAAGAAAATGAACAAAGTTTCTGGTGAATGCTTTTGGTGTTACCGAATGAAAGCTGGTGCGTTATACACAGCTGGACACTACACTGTCCACTGTATTAATTGCCACACGAAACTTTCAGATCTGGTAAACCCTCAAAAGAGCATTCAAATGACATGTTCTCTTGTTTTGTGGAAGGGACAGGGACATTAACTTTCTGGTTCGATGCAAAATGCTTGTTGAATCAGGAAATGTATGGCTGCCTGGCCACACATACACCAAAAAGAAATTGTTCTTGGTTTGATCTCTCACCTAATGTAACACTATGGTCAGAAATTTTGTTGTCATTCCTTTGCCTTTTGTGTCTAGTCTAAGCAAACTTTCATGGAAGGTTAGCTAACCAAAAGTTAGATAATCAAGATTCTGCTGTTTTCCATAGATTGGTGTAGTGGTACAGAAACTCATGACAACAGCATCAGGAATATTTTCTTTTCCTTTAGTGTCATACTGGGAAGCCTTCCTTAAAAGGTTTCTCACTCAGAAAAATAACTATACATTTCTTTTAACCAACCCATAAAATGTATTTCCAATTCAGATTTAGAACCTGGAACCCCTCAAAACATTTACGATATATCTAATCACTATGATGTATGAAAGATACTACGATTGCTGCCCATCTTGTATTAAATCAAACTTTTGCACTAGATTGAACCTTTCCTGACATGGACGGACCCTGCCCCAATCAACGTTGGTTACTTCGGAGTTTGTACTGGTTACGGCGCGACTGGCGAATGGCTGATTGATGGTAAGTTCCACAACTTGTTAGACACTTGATTAGCTGAACTTAGCTTTGACCAAGAGCTTGTGGGCCTGCAAAACTTACTTCCCGAAAAACTTACTTTCTCACTATCATTTATTCAATGTTTAGTAGATTAAGTATTTCGGGAATACACTTTATGTCTCGCAATTATCAACTGTTTTGGCTTGGCTGGCTTAATGTTTTACAACCATACTAATATTCAAAGGTGGTGGGTGATTTTTGTTGAAATTGTTGTAAAATTACATGGTTGGAACATAAATGGTAATATAAAGCTCTATGTTTTACTGTGCAGTGGAGTGTTCATAATCTATATATTTCACAAGGCAGTTTTAATGCTACAGGCCATCCTAAAAACATCAGGACCGACAAAACGCTTTACTTTTTTACTTTTTCTACTACACTAATTTTGACTACCATCCAAGTAAAAATCTAAATTTTAAAGTAAAAATACACGCAAAGTATATTAAAATCATAAACATGTGGGAATAAGAAAAATTTGCTTTAGCCCATACACGAGTTTAGGAGAGTTTACGTAACCTGCATAACAGTAAACATTTTGATTTCAGTAATGTTAATACTACATTTATCTCCCATAAGACCTGTACTGTACGGTGAGCATGGAACAAAGTAAAGTGTATAGGTGATTCCCTAAGTACAATGATTGTTATGAATCTGTGTCATGATTCTATGGCTTTAGAGGATGATAAACTTCATCTTTGCCACCAGTACGTTAAAGAAAATCCTGATTTAAGCATCTTTTAAGCAATATTTATAAGATTTTGTACTAACATTTGTACTAACATAAAATAGTGTTGAACTAACCTCAACTCACTACCGCGTTGTCTGGCTAACAAGACGTAAACGCTAGGTGAGACAATCTACACTCACGACACACTAGAGTACGCGTACCGACCAGTGCCGCGCTACTCGCTGGATATTCATGTGCGTGCGAGCCACAACGCACACATTGCCTTGACGAGCGCGCCGCGCGAGACCTCACCCATGTACGAGGTGTTCCTAGGCGGCTGGGAGAATTCAGCATCTGCTATACGCTACAACAGAGAAAAACCTGACAAGGTATGTTGATTATATATGTTTAAACTATGTGTAATACAGTTAGTGGTTAACTTAATTACAACTTTGGAAACCCATTGGCTCAGAAATGTAAATATCCTATCAAGTCTTTAGTATAAAAATGGATATGTATTTATTTGGTTTGATAATATTTTTAAAATTGTAGGCATTAAAAGGTCACATTATTCTATTCTTGACATTCTTTTAGTAATGGGTCCGAGAGACAATTAAATTAACTATCATCATTTATACTGTCAAAACAAAGATGTTTACAGAGGATGTTTCTGATAGAGATTACGTACCAATATACCTTGGCCTAAACCAAGGCTTCACTAGAAAAACAGGCCATGCTGCAGCACAGGCAGCGCAACACTATGTCACAGTGGTGGATAATTGTACTAAAATCTTGCTGTTAAATCTGCCAAACAGCAAGCTTGTTTACCTAAAATAAATGGGATATGGCAGTGAATCTATCCACAAGTGTGACGTCATGGATCCTGCAGAATGGCCTGTTTTTCTAGTGGGGCATTGCCTGAACACACATTGCAAACAGATTATACCCATGTAGCACAGATGGTTGGGCCAACGTTGGTAAATTGTGGAGCCACACAGTTGGCCAACGGTAGAAATGTCACCTCTTTAAACTGTTTTCCAGCCAACCTTTGTCCAACAATGGCCCAACCAAAATTATTTCACACAAAATAATAAAGATTTAGTACGAAAAGCATAATTATTAGTTGAGTAAATTGATTAAATAGTTCATAAAAACAAATTTTGAAAAAAAGCTGGAACAAAATTTTTTGGCCCAGACGGGTCTCGAACCCGGGTCCTTCGACTTATGAGCCTCTTACCTTACCACTGAGCTATCTGTGATTGTTGATACAGAGAGTTTTCAAGTGGTGAAAGAGTAGCCGACAGTTGCAATGGTCGCAATACTTCAAACATTTTTGATACTACACAGTATAATATGATTCTGTTAATCTGTTAAGGCATCATAAGTAGTTATTTTTTTTTTGGAGTTAGAGAGGATACTGGTATTTGAATATAGATTAATTAACTACCGTTAGATTATTAATGCTATTATAATTGACTGTTATATGATTAATTACTCTTTCCCCTTAAATTGTTGCAAATAAGTTAAAGAATATTAATTTAAAAAATATTTGCATTATTATAATTATTAAAATTCATTGTTGTAGCCCCGGAACTGTAATATGTAAAATATCTGGTTTTACAATACCTTTATCAGTTCCAAAAACTTTTGGAAACTTTTGGAACTGATAAAGGTATTGTAAAACCAGATATTTTATTATAATTATGTTGTGAAAGCTAGACCCAGAGAATGAAAGTCGTGTAAACTCAACTATGGACCATCGTTGGTCCAACAAAAGTATCTTTTGTTGGTCCAACGGAGTGAAAAACGGTTGGACAACGGTTGGCTTGATGTATGATACCCAACAATGCATATTAATGTATTTCATTAACAATGAACCGATGTTGGTCCACAGTTGTAAATATTGGTTGGCCCAACTACGAGATATACAGTTGGACAACGGTTGGTTGGTTGTGGAAGCTCCAACCAACCATCGACCAACTGTCCCACAGTTGGCCAACGTTGGCCCAACCATCTGTGCTACATGGGTATTGACTGAACCAAGTGGTTTATGGTACTTGTTCTGTTAGACTATCTAAGCAATACTAAACTAGATTGGAACATACATTGGAAATAGATTATAGGCCTACATTTGACAATCAATATTCAAATTTCAATAGTAGAGATTCTGAATTAGAGAATATCTAACCAACACACTTGTCACTTGCCCTGAATATACATTTTTATCTATTGCTCTCCATTAATTTTGAGCATTGGTATTACACAGTTAGATTTTCAGGTTGAGTTATATTAAACTTTGAGTAACTATTTATTGCTCTGATCAAATTTCGAGCACAGGTTGAACATACAGTAGACTCCCTTTTATCTGGACATCTTTTAACCGGGTCATCGGTTTAACCGGACTACACTCGGCAGAAATTACATCTCTTTAAACGGACAATTCTTATCTGCACATTGGTTTAACTGGACTATATCGGCAGGAAGTGGGCTGTAATGAAACGACTGTTCTCGTGGGAAAGATTTGAGACCGGTGATCACGTGTCTAAAATAATGCTCTCCTAAATTTAAGTCAAATATTTTGGTTACATAACGAGTTCATGGGGACGTTGGTTTAACCGGAAAACCCGTTATCCGGACTAGCTTCGGTCCCGGGGAGTCCGGATAAGAGGGAGTCTACTATGCAGTTGGCTTTTATCTTGCCTAGGCCTTTTAATTCTCCTTAAAAGCCTAAGCCTTTTTAAACACTATACTATTACTGCAATTTATCAAAATTTTTCCTAGGATAGTCAAAACTTTATTTTAAGTTCTTGCCTATACGTAACACATCATTTTCTGCTAAGGTCCATGTGGAAACGCCCAACCTACTGACATCAGGAGAACACAAACACTTCCGCCTCAGTTGGAACCGAGGCTTGGTGCAGGTTAAGCGAGGAGGGGATGGGTTTGTACTCATGGAGTGGCAGGACCCGGTACCCTTCGCAGTCTCCCACTTTGGGGTTCGATCCTGTTGGGGCGCCATCGGATTGTGGAGCATCAATGTGGTCAATGACGTTGACGGCCTAGGTGACCCGTTGTGAAGCTAGGTGGTTAGGTTGAGTTCATTGACTAGTGAGGTTTGGTTAATAGGTTTGGTTTAATCTAGGTTTGGTAAGCTCTGACTGGTTCTATTACTAACCTAAGTGGTTGTAATTTGTTTTTAATCTACAAACAGATTCGTTCAGATTAGTTTTTCAATATAGTATGGACTAGATGAGTCTAGATACTATTAAGTCAAACTACTGCAATAGTATATAGTAAAGCTAGGCGGTTAGTTTTAGTTGAGCGAGATTTCAGTGAAGCTAAAAGGTTGTTAGGTGAAATTGGTCCTCACCTAAGTTAAGTGGTTGTATTCTTGTTTCTTTAGTAAAGACAAATTTCTTCATATATTTTCATTGCAGTTAAGTCCCTTAAACTTGGTGACCTAGGTGAGGTTAGATGGTTGTGGAATTCAGGATTGAACGATAGTTCAGTGGAATTTTGAGAATAGATTGTTTGGGTGGGCAAGAGCTCAAACTCCTTCTAAACTAAGGGGTTTTTAATATTTTTGAAATACAAATTCTTTAACTGTTTCCCAATTGCCAGAGTGATATAATTACTTTTAAAAAACTGAAATAGTTTCTCTCACAAACCCTAGTACCGTATAATAAGAAAATAAAAATCTTTCATCATTAAATGTTTATAATTATGTACTTTATTAATGACAGGATTTATTTTACCACATTTATTCTACTATTATTCTTTTTATTACAAAAATAAATCTATATTTGTTCTCTTTCCTGTTTAAAGGAAGATGTTGACTTTTGATTCATAAAGTGTAAATGTATCAGTTGGTGCTTGCAAATAGTAACATTCCTTTGCTAGTTCACATCACATTAAGGTTATCAATATTTTTCTTCTTATAGTAGTTTTAAGTACCATCAGAGTCTCGCTAATCCAAACCAACTGATGGGTTCAGACCCCGTTCAGATTATTATTGTTCAGATTAGCCAAAAACGCAATGCAGTTGTATACAAAATTAAAACAATGTATTTTCACTGTTTTTCTTATGAGCTTTTCTGGTACAACATGAGCAAATGATTATATTGCTGCCAATTATAAAAACTACCACCATTTTGTACTGACTGCGTTGAGATAGAGACCCCTGGTCTTTGCCAATATTCTTTTTAACTGATGGCCTTCAAAATGACATGTCACTTGACGGGGCTTTACATTTTACATTTTTGAGCTGCATCCAAAACACCCCATTTTGGGGTCCCAGGCAAAATTGTCATAGCAACCAAAACATAGTTTTTAGTTTCTTGTTACGATAATCCTGAGTTAAGTTTTCCTGGTACCGTACAACACGTAAAAAGGTTAATAGGGGAATTGATGTAAATTTTTACATGAGGTCTCTCAGGCTGAGGAAAAATAAAGAGACCTCTAATTCTCACTAATATTCTTTTAAACTAATGGACATTAAAAAGAGGTGTAATATGATTGGGATTTACATTTAAAATTTTTGAATTGTTCATAAAATAACCCATTTTGGGATTTCAGACGAAATTGGGATACCAACATAAAGAAAAAAGTGCAATTTTAAGCTATATAGAGGTGTGCAGAGTTTGGGTTTTCTGGTGTAACCCATTAAAAGGTTTATAAGGGGTGTCCATACTTTTGTCCAACCCTGTATAATGACATTGAAAGAGAGCCAACACAAAGCTGTTATGATTAGATGCTCAGCTATGGACTACTGTAGATTATTTCAAAATTTTCCGTTCCTTACAATAGTAAAATATTTTGTTTTTCAAGTTGGCAGGACACCTTGGTTAGTATTTTAGAACAAACTCATAGCTTTGATTAAAATTCATATTCAGTAATCTTTTTCCCAAACAGGATTAGGCGGACGTTGGATTAGCATGGTTTGGATTAACAAGACTCTTGTATAGTTCAATAGCAATGAAACAGTAGCTATAAGCTTGTAACAGAAGTACAATTGATTAGTATTTTTCTAGTATTACCTATAGCTTTTTAAATATCGGATAATACATTTGGTTGTTTTCATATTGATTACTTTTTAAGAAAATGTTTTGCTTGAAAAATGTGTAGAGCCATAAATAGCCTGATGAGAAAATTTTCATCAAAACATGTGTTTGGCGTATTTTATTTTTGTTTTCATGCTTTCAATCTATAAATGCTTTAGCGTATTTGTTTGTTAATATGTTTGCCTTTTTGTAAGTGAAAAATAATTGCTTTTCGTTTGTGATTGTGAGTAATGAAATGTACCTGCTCAACTTGTTCTATTGTCTTTGTTGCTTCAAACAAAATCGTTTAGCCAAATAAAATTTAACAGTACTTGTAACAAAAAGAGTGTAGCTTGGTTTTACATTATCTTAAAAACTTTTACTAACAATTTTGTTTTTTTGGTGTTTTATTTGTAGTCAAAATAACATACTTAGTCTTAAGGTTAGCTGTAAGCTTCTAAAACTGGTTGATGAGGTTCAGGACATAGTTACTATATTTTTATATCCAAGTTGTTATGTATTTTAATAAAATTGATTTAATGTACAGTAATTGTTTATTTTCCTTGATCTTTCTTCAGATGTTTAAACTAGAAAATTCAAGGATAGCAAAATGTTACACGGTTGTTTTATCAAAACCTTCTCAAGATCAAATAGATTAAAGCATAAAGAATGTTTTTCAAAAAGAGAGATTAACGGCCATTTAAACCTTGCACTTGCCCGTCCCCATGGGCCACAGAGGTCTGTGCGTGGAACGTATCCATCAAAGCAAGGGGTGAGCCGGTAAAGTACAAAGGCAATCTGTACACTGGTAATAAGTAGTGGCACATACCAGGATCTGAACCCATGACCATCGTTGTCTTGGGTCCGAAGTTTGTGACACTACCTACTGAGCCACCGACTCAAAATTGATTCCTCAATTCAATACTTACTACCTATTTCATATAATCATCGTAATTAATTGCTTGTAAAGGGACAAAAGTTATTATAATAAACAAATAACATTTTGTAAAATCAGATATATTCCAAAGTAATGATTTTGCATTTGATTAAAGATACAATGGTTATAAAAGGTTCTAAAAAAACTTTTTTTTATAAAAAAATGTAAATTCTTTAATGTAAGAAGTGAAAACCAGGCCTTTGCATTATCAATACTATATTAATTTCTCTGTTATGTATCATACTGTAGTTGTGATTATTAACGAACCCTATGCAACAATAACGCTTTTATATTTTAAATATTTGTATGCTTTACTTTTGCATGAATATACTGTGTGATAGTTATTGTAGTACCATATTTTGTGACATGTGCATGGTTTGTTTGTTGAATTAACCCCTTGCTTGTATTTGTTTGCCAAAATCATATCATTGTTAAGTTAAGAATTATATGCTTTACTTTTTTGGTTTATTTATTCACTTAATTTATAACCTCAAACGATACCGTAAACCATAAAAAAATCAGGGAAATCTTTTACCTACAATAATTATGGGAGTGCAAAGGAGATTTTATTTTGGATTCCATGCATTGATACGATTCAAAGAATTTTAAATTTTGATTCTAATCAATTAAATTCCATGCAGCACGGCATGATTTTCTTTCAAAATGATTTACAACTTACGTTACTGTAATAGATCATTTACCTTAAAGATAAAAAAATGCACAAAATAAATTATTTTCTGAACAATAGGATAGTTGCTGACCTAACCTCCTGCTGATGGAGACTGCCGATTCTGTGGTTGGCGTAATAAACCATAAAATCAGCACCACAGCCATAATTATTATGGGATGGGACCAAAATAGAATTTATGCATACTGAACCAAATCGCGATTTGATGCATCAAATAGAATTGAAACTTTGATGCATTTTCAGTGCATTGCACACCACTAATAGACATACTTCAATCGTAATTCAAAACATTCTGTCTTTATATTTGATCCATTTGAGAATTCCTTCTGCCTTAGTATTTCTATGAACCATATTTCCTAGAATGACAGATCAATACATAAATTTCATCACAAAGTGGGAAATATTATCCACATCTTAAATTTACTGTCAATACTACTTTAACGTTTTGCTGTAAAATGGGCAGCATACAATTATATTACCTTTTATCATTAAAACAAGACTAACTTAGCTTGCAATCAATGGGCAACATAGTTTCAGAATGGGTGTATCCTTTGTTTAAGGATTTGATAAAAAAATATTTAGTGGTGAGTGGAGACACAATTCTATCTATAACATTTAAAATGTCTTATGTTGTAGCCATCCTACACTATTCACTATACAGATCAGTCAATCATATCTATACTGATCTTGCATTCAATTTCACTTAAAATAGCTAACAAAAAGTGCATTACTGCCCAGTGATTTAGTGATCTTCAAAGTTTTACTCTACAGAGCATTAACAAATTCTAAGTCCAAGTAAGGTTTCAACATTGTTTCTTCATAAAATTGCCAAACGGCTTAATCATTTTCAAAATAAACTTATCACACACTTTTATAGAAATTTCTATATTTCGGCATTAGCCTTCTTCAGGAACAAACACAATAACAAATAGAAGTGTTTACCACTCTGAATCATATGGTTTTAGCATAAATCCAAAATACATATAATTTATGAAGAAGTAAAAAAGAAAATGTTTTGATAGAAAGAAAGAAAAAATTTTATATATATATATGTATATATATACTATCTCAAATTTAGACCGGAAGGTGTTTTAGATTTAAGTATTAATTGATGAGCTTGCTCAAGCTGTCTTAATTTCAAGTCTGGTGCGTCTTTTGCCAATTTTCTTATTCCTTTTAATGAATAACATTGTTCAAAATTTTGAGAATGCTCTCTCGCATGAATAGCCACAGGTTTTAGTTTATCAGGATGGTTTACATCATATCTGTGGCCATTCATACGAACTCTTAGAGCATTGGTGGTTTTGCCAATGTAGTCTTTAGGACAATTTTTGCATGAAAATTGGTAAATTACATTAGTAGACTCACAGGTGATGTTACTATTTATGTTATAACATCT